GCCGAGAGTGAATCTCTGCTAAACTCAAACGCCGTCAGGGCTTTGATACAATGGCGGATTGTTTACGTTCATTTCATAGTTGAACACTTTCCAATTTTTTCCTTTAAATCTCTTCGAAAAAGTCCCAAAATGACTTACCAATCTTTAAACCAGTAATTCTCCCCTTCAACTCAACATTAGTGGTACTTGGGATGGTTCCACCTCTTGCAGCGAGAGAAACTGAAACGCCGAGTTTCTGAGCTGGCTCCTTTGTCCATGACCTTCGGTTTGATTTGTGATTTGTGCAACTTCCTTAATGGATAATCTTACTTATCAAAATACTCTTTGACTGTGCGTGGAGTGTAATTTTGTCTTGACAGCATTAGCACCATGTGAATCAAAATTTCAATCAACTCCATTTTTGTTTGGTAACTTCAAAATAAGTAACACCGAATCACATATTCGTTCATTTCCTGTGTCCAAGTGATTCCCTGTTTGTTTTTTGGGCCTTGCGAGGCGGCGTTTGAGTTTAGCAGAGATGCACTCTTGGCCCGGAAGGCTAGACTTACAGAAAATCCTGCCGCAGATCATCAGTAAGCGGGAGCGTGACACCGATGCGTGTATGCTCTCAGCTCTGGTGGAGAAAGAGAGAACTTCAATTGCACTTATGTATTAGCAATTATGTGGTGCTTCCGTAGATCACGCCGACGATTTGCAAGTTCAACTAACAATGTTTTTTTTCCAACGAAGTTTATCTCATAAAAAATTCAAAATTGAATTTTCATTTTTTTTGTTGGTTCATAAGCAGCCTCATTCATTCGCATAAGTTTCATAAGTTTTACGTGAAATTGCCACAATATCCCCCTCGAAATTTTCCGTCACTCGGCGGAACTCTTATATATGCCGAGTGATACCTAATTTATTAACCAACTATTCCTATTTTTTTTTCCCCCAAATTTTACGAGAATCGCTGATTTTTTTCCGTATGTAAGAAATCAACTTTCAAAAAAACCTCTAATCAGGCTGCAATGATGGTATAGTTCTTAGGGGTTCTATACGGGAGAGTTTACCTCTAACTACTCTTACTCTATGCTGCTATCTCTTCCATCTCTGTGTAAAAGTAAAAGAAGAAAGTGAGGTTATGTTTACTTGATGTTTACAGTTTACTGGAACATCTGAAAGGATAAAGGATTCTAAAAAAGGTAGATCATTGTCTGACAATGCAGAATTGGTCTATTTGTCAGAAAACTTGCGCTCTAAGATGTGCTGATAGGTGGAAGGCTGGTACATGACTTACTTTAAGCCAGACTTGACAAACCTTCATACAAATGTACTTCTCCTTCGATGCTTGGACGGACTATCGACGTGCTTTTCCACAACATTGTCGAACATTAATTAATGGAGCCCATTAATTGTTTAAACAACAAGAGTTGTGGAAGAGCATGGTGACATCCTGGATGAACTAGGTAACTGATCAAGCTACAGTCAAGTCAAGCACATCATGAAATCTATTAGCTCAGAGAGAAAACTGGATTGTTTCATAGCCGCAAGAGAGATGCTGTGTTCTTCAGCTGCAAAATATTATTTTGCGTACATTGAAGTAGAGAAATTCCAACCGGAGAGAACTCAGGTATGATTAGACTTTCCACAGGGTGACAGGGGGCAGACTTAGCAAGCGATCTGCATAGCTAGGGAACACGGCAGCCTTGTGATTTCGGAGCGGAGACGCCAAAACATAAAATTTAGAGAAAGAGTAACAACTGAAGTAACCACTTTTATTCTTCATCTGCCTTCATAAGGGTGCGGTCGTGTAGTAGAGGAAACTAACTGATGAGGATGACAATCATTGCATCAAAACCATAAGCGCTAGTTAAAAGCAAGCAATGCGGTTACACTTTTTCACGAATCTAATCACATCACCAATACTACTTAAATTACAAGTCTCCCGGTCCACGAGTATTAGGGGAAAAGTCTACGAGAAACTAATTGATCCTGTGATTCAATGCCTTTTAATACATACATTTCTACCAATTTCACTTAATGAATTCTAACCTCTAACTCTTAATTCACGCTCATGCTCATGTTTCGAGAGCGATTATCAGATTATCTCACAACTCGCACAATCTCACAGACACAGACCATCGACAGTGGTAGAAAGTGAGAAACACCTATAAAGAAATCTCATGCTTACTTTATGGTTTGGCAACATCGTAAAATTCGAGACAGCCTTACATCTCGAAACATCGACCGATCGATTTGGGCACATTGCCAAAGTTTCGATCTCTCGCTCGACCATGTTGGATTTTTGGAGGTAATGCCGTTGTAGGTAATGTCCTGCCCCCTAGACCGTATAGACCGTATTCGATAACGGTTCGATGTATCGTTTGGTTCAAAACAATAGAACATAACCTCAAACCAAACTGTAAGGATTTTAATTGGAAAAGCTGAAAATGAGAAATTTCCTGACAATTTCACTTTGCATTGGCATTTGGTACTCAAAAGAATAAAAAATCTGTTTCAAAAGATCCGTTCTCTCAGATTTCTGACTTTACTTTTGAGGCTATGTTTATGTTTTGAACCAATCGATATCGATACAATCTCACCCGTTTGATGTATCGAATACGATCTATTCGATAACGGTTCGATGTATCGTTTGATTCAAAACAATAGCACCTAACCTCAAACCAAACTGTAAGGATTTAAGTTGGAAAAGCTGAAAATGAGAAAATTCCTAACAATTTCACTTTAAATTGGCATTAGGTACGCAAAAGAATAAAAAATCTGTTACAAAAGACCCGTTCTCTCAGATTTCTGAATTTACTTTTGAGGCTATGTTTATATTTTGAACCAATCGATATCGATACAATCTCAGCCGTTTGATGTATCGAATACGATCTATGGGAAAACTAACAAAGAGGCAAGCAAAGCAATGAAGCATTTTAAGTAAGCTTTTAATAAGTTTTATCTTAATTCACACGATTTTAACTTAATTAAGTGCTTGTGTGGCAGAATTAGAATAAAGTATGCAGAAGTCTAGGATCCCCTCTCAAAACTTCTCATCCTTAAAATATGAGTCCTCTAAGATGCAATATAACGAGGTCTTTTCTAGTATTTCAGTATTTTTCTCCCTCAACGTGTAATTAATGCTAGAATATCTTTTCGAAAAATAGTACATAATGGGAACATAATTAGAACATTACATACATAAATAGAATTTACATTCATAGAATTACATAATTAGAAGTATGAAATAATCTCTTCTTTTCCTCTGACGGTCTTCTGCATGAGGTGACTCATTCAAATTTAGCGCCAGAGACGTGACATCAGTGCTGCTCTCTGCGCAAGCATGACGATCCCAGCCAGTTGTGTTGTGTGGTTGTGAGCTTCCGTTATAGAATAATAAGGCCATAGAATAAATAGACTAGAATAATGAGACTAACGTCAACAGAAGCGAAAGCTCCGTAAGAACCAATGTTAACATTTTTCCTCCCAGGCCGGCCATCTTGGTACTTATTGAAATCGAGCGGAGTTCAATCGTCGACATCGGCAGAAGTCGAATTCGAAAAAAGGGCAGTCGTCGACTCGAAGCGAACGGGTCGAATGGTTCCGCGAACTGCCGCGAATGTCATGAACATTCGCCGGGGCGAGTTCGGACGAGTTTGTTATTGTTTCTCATTAAACTATTTAAACTAACCCCTTTTGAGAACATTAGTAATAGTAATAGTACATCTACCTATTTAATAGTCAAGAATGTCTAATATTTTTCACTGAATAAATTTTTGCATGTCGTCGGATAAATTATTTTTTTGGCGGTGTGTCTGTTTTGTAGTAATTTCTTGCCTAGCCACTGCTTCTTTGACGTTAGTCTCATTATTAAGGCTTCCGTGGTCCGTGCTCTGTTTGGCAAGTGAGACAGGCGAAATTATCGGATCTGCAGCTAGTTGTGGGTTTTGACCGTTAAAATCTCAGTAGTTAACTTTAAATTAGGTTTTTTCGAGGAAAATTTCAGAGTGCTGAAAAAGTGCTGAAATTTCTGTGTCTCAGTGCTGATTTTTCGGCGTTGGTGCTGAAATTTGATGAGGCTGAGTTCTTGGTCCATGGCTGAGTGCTGATTTTTGAAAATTCCATCTGGGAACCCTGTAAAAAAAAAAAACAGTCATTCATCAACACCAAGACCAATCCACACAGGTCAGTCATTGCGCAGCTTTTTTGAAATCCACTCCCCCGCCCGGCCCTAATTCGCAGCACTCATTGTGACGTACTATTGAGTGCTCCCATAAGAAATACATTGTTTGCACTCAATACTACGTCACTGCGCCAGGGCTGCCAGAACGTGTACTTTCGGTACACACGTGTACTATCTATTTTCGTTTTGGATTATTTTTTACTTTTCAGAATTCGGATTAATTGTGTACTTTCGCCGAATTTTGTGTACTCTGTGTACAATTTTTTTCAAAATTAGGAAATAATCTCGAGTTTTCAATTTTTTTCTCTCAAAGTTATAGATTTTTGTTCCTTGCCGTTTAGTTGGCTGCAAGCTTTCACTCAGGGCTGCCAGAACGTGTACTTTCGGTACACACGTGTACTATCGATTTTCGTTTTGGATTATTTTGTACTTTTCAGAATTCGGATTAATTGTGTACTTTCGCCGAATTTTGTGTACTCTGTGTACAATTTTTTTCAAAATTAGGAAATAATCTCGAGTTTTCAAAGAATTTTTAAAATTTCCCGCCGAATTAGTGGCGCAAATAATTTATTAGGCTAAAATTCCCGCAGAAATCCCTCTCTGTTATTCAATGGTTGATTCTACCTAATTCTACTCAATCGTGGGATCAAATTGTAGACTTCCAAGTACCTACTTTTGGCGTGCTTTTGTGTATATTTGAAAAAAATGTGTACTATTTGTGTACTTTCTTTCTCGCGGATTATTTTGTACTTTCCCCCAAAATTTCGGATTATTTTACTCAAATTCTGTGCACTTTCTCAAGTCCCGTTTCTGGCAGCCCTGCACTGCGCAGTAGAGTACCAAAATTCGTCCTCGGGAATGACTGACCTGTGTGGATTGGTCTTGATCAACACTATCACTCAAAAGAACCGTATAATCTATTCAGCTTGTGCGCTAGCAATGCTAAGTTCCCCATGAATAGTTGGTATTGGTACGAAACTCGTTTCTACCATGGTTTCTTGCTGCAAAAATCACTGATAAAATGTCCCAGAGAACTTCAATGAAGCAGCACGAAGCCAGAAATCCTCCGAAAAGAATGGATCACTACAAGAACTCTGACCTTCGCTACGAACTTCTGCAGGAGGACAGCTCGTGAGTATCTTTTCTGAAGATTCAAGGTTGTCGATCTCATCAGTTTGAGTATGCATAATGTTACGATACCTATGGTTACAAAGATCATTAATTATTTAAAGTATTAAGAATATTTACTTGCAAGACCAAGTGGACAAATACGAACTGCAACATATCAACAAGGAGGCAAGGCAGCAGCATCAGTGAGTCAAGCCAGGACTCAATCCTGGATCTATGGCTATTGCCTTCCCAAAACCCTAATGGTTTAACAAAATGTTTTGGTGTGCAGTTAAGAGCATGAATGTTTCAACACCGCAGGCTCTGTTTGCAAAAATCTATGCTGACTGAGCTGAATGTCGGCTCTCAATTTTCCTGATGCAATGCCCATGTCTGTAAATAGAAAGGGTAAGTGCTCTGTCGGGTCAAGCAGCATTCGAATCTGACTAGGGCCCTATCCACATGAGCGCAATTTGCGTAACTTATTCCTCGAACTGCTCAGTTCCCGGAACTTATTCCTTGAGACGAGGCATGCTGTCCACACGAGTTCGCCCAAACTGGAACCGGAACTTCAATAAAACTATACAATTACTGCAAAATAATAGATTATTACGACCGCCAAAGTAACAAAAATAAATGTAAAGATATGTAAAGGATGCAAAAAACAAAAACAAGCAAATTCACATCAAAAGAAACATATGTAGAAGCTCGGAGTACGGGGGAAGTTCCGGGTTTTGGAGGAATAAGTTTTAGCTCAGCTAAAAACATGTTCCGGGAACAAGTTCCTAAAAATAAGTTCCACGAACCGCGCTCGTGTGGACAAGGCCTGATGCCATGTGCCCAAATCTTTTTTATCAGCATTTAATTAATTGGAATCATGGCCATAATTTTGGAAAACCATTTGCGGTAAGCTAGAGCGGACGCATTGTATAGGCTTGTGACTGCGATCGCAGTAGCAGGTAAAAATCACTGTGATTCTTGAGGAGCGGTGATCGGTCGCTGTGACTGGCGAGGGACTCCTGTTATTCTGCTCTTTTTTTGGCAGTTTTTGCCAAAGGCGAAACGCTTACGATAAAAAAGTGAGCTATCAAGATTGTGGTTTTAAAGTGCGATAAAAATTAATGAATGAGTTTGCATAAGGTTAATCAGTTGTCATAGTTGAATGCTATAGCAAAGGAGCATACCTTCGATTCACTTACCTTACTGACAGTCCAAGATTCAACATTTCTTGCTTAGTTCAATTTTCCGCTTAATTTGAAATTCCCGCATTTTTCATTCGTGGGGATTTCAAATTTTGCCCCCCTTCCTAAGCTCTTTGGTCTACTTTTACGTAAAAAACATGGGTCCTATTTCCCAATTCTGAATACAGAGGGCTCATCTAGGGACTATCGCCTGTCATTAGCCACAGTAACATGGAAATCGCCTCCAGTGGAACGCTGAAACGAACTATGACAAAAATAAAAATTTACATTGTTTAAATGGGAGAATTCGCAACTTTGGCATGGTGGCCCATGGCGCAGTGAGGAAACGGGTACTGCCATGAGAGCAAAGAGAACAGTGTCAAATTTTCGAAATCAAGTTTCCTTCAAAATTCGTCTAAATTCTTTAGATGAAATCACTGAAATTGCTAAAACAGTGAAATCTATACTAATAAAGCAGACTTCACGTTGATTGACTCACTCACGTATCAGCGGATCTCGTGAACGGAAGGTCGTATGACTCTGAGATCCCGCACTGGGATCCCTCTCTATCGCAAGGCGCCGGATAAGGGAGGATTTCGCGATCCGCCTGCCGGTTCGCGGGACATCGCGGTCCGTCCGCGTGTTTCGATTTTCCGTAAGGACAACGGGTGCGAGTAGTCAAGGAGAAATACGAAAAAAAGGGGCGGGGTTAACCCGGAACAAATTGCTTAACAAACTTTTCCTATGTAAACGTCATCAGTAGGTCCTCCTGAACAACATACCAAAATTTTACCACGGTCCGACCCCGGAACACCCCCCAAAATGCCTAAATTTCAAAATGGCGGCCATAATAAGGCCTCTAGGATTTCGGTTTTTTAAAATGCGCATATAGTGTCATGTGAGGTATCTATCCCTATGTAATTTTGGTCGTAAAATTCAGATATGAGGTCAAAAAAGTCCCCCGGTCAAAGGGGGTGCCCCAAATCTAAGATGGCGGCCAATTTTGAAGGGCAGGAGGGTGAATTTTTAAAATGCGCATATAGTGTCATGTGAGGTATCATTCCCTATGAAATCTTGGTCGTAGATTTCATTTATGGAGTCATAAAATCCCTCCGGTCAAAGGGGGTGCTCCAAATTTCAAGATGGCGGCTAAATTTGAAAGGCAGGAGGGTGGATTTTTGAAATGTTTATGTGACATGGCAAGTGAGGTATCATTTCTTATGTAATTTTGGTCGTGGATTTCATTTATGAAGTCATGAGAGCCCCCCTGTCAAAGAGGGTGCCCCAAATCCACGATGGCGGCCTTTGAAAGCAGGAAGGTGAGCCAAAAAAACAACAGTCACGTTAGAAGGCAGGTTGGCTATCAAATTCTACGTATTTTAGTCAAGGAGTCTGAATGAAATTTGAAAAATTAATTTTACACAAAAATGAGACATGACATGCAAGATGGTGACCATCATACTCGAGAAATCATAAATGGTAGGTAAGGTGTCTCGCTGATAAGTGCACAATTACTCAGAATTCATGTTCAAATGCTTTAAACACAGAGGATGAAAAATCTGAAATACCTGCTGTAAGTACCGGGATAATGAAGTAAAAATTCAGCACGTTTTAGATGGTGGGTCTTCACTTCACCGAGGGCCATAGAAAAGTGGGTAAACCTATATTATTTGGATTCATAAATTCAAATCATCGCACAGTTCTACGCTAAATTCTTTTTTCTAAGTAATCTGAAGCCATGGCAGTATTTGACGGGTGCCAAGGAAATGGACCATTTATGAAAGACTCCACTCGCCTTAAAAGAAGCCAAAAATTCAGCTACGCGCCTACAGTCAATTTCTCACCAAATCCATCTTTTGTTGGTAAAAAAGAGGTAAATTTTGACAAATTCAGTCACTAAAAGTAAACTTATCCAAATCATTGGCACACGCCTCGAATCCACCGGTTGTAAGGTCGTACATGTGAAATAAGATGCAGCTCTTGATATCGTAAAAGAGGGTGGTGCACCTTGTACATAAGAAAACTGACACAATTATTGTGAACGAAAACGATTCGAACCTATTCGTTTTTTTTTTAAAAAAAAAAATAGATCCGAGGACATCAATTTTTCTTTGCACTTGAGATGTGATATTAATCGCATTAAGTCCAAGACGATTGTTCACAACATCCCTTGAATCCGTCACAGAATTGATCTAAGTTTATGTAAGCAGCTTCTGTTTCATACGTTTTGGCTTTTGCTGCGATTTAACCACTCACATGCACAGAATCGGAAAAGCATAACTATATTCGGTACGCTTATATCGGATCTTTACCTATGCAAAAATGCTGAAAGGTTCTTGAAACCTAAGCAAAGCTTTAAAAGAACAGAGAAAGCTGGATAGAACGAGCCGATCTGAAAGCTCTTCAATGGGAATGCTTTGATAAAAATGTCGATGAAATTTATCCTATTACAAGCAACTTCCCTCCAGTCCGAAATCGCTGCGTGAAATTATTCGGTATAATGGTAAAAAAAAAGGTGTGGTACAACACCATGCTGCATGAAAGTGAAAATTTCAGAAAATGAACTTATGCTGCACAGACTTACGTATAAATTAAGAAGACTTCATAAACTTGGCGACACCGCAGGAAGAAGATCCTGACAATCCTGACTCAGACTATGTCTCAACATGTGCTTATTCAGATTTTCGCCCATATTGACTAGAGTTTGTAGGTCACGTTTAATATCCTTATCTTCATTGGGCATGCATGTGCTTCTCTTAGGTGCTCCTGTTCACATCTTTTCATACCCTGGACAGCCATGATGGTCACCATCATGCATGTCACATCTAATTTTTGTGTAAAATTAATTTTTCAAATTTCATTCAGACTCCTGGACTAAAATACGTAGAATTTGATAGCCAACCTGCCTTCTAACGTGACTGTTGTTTTTTTGGCTCACCTTCCTGCTTTCAAAGGCCGCCATCGTGGATTTGGGGCACCCTCTTTGACAGGGGGGCTCTCATGACTTCATAAATGAAATCCACGACCAAAATTACATAAGAAATGATACCTCACTTGCCATGTCACATAAACATTTCAAAAATCCACCCTCCTGCCTTTCAAATTTAGCCGCCATCTTGAAATTTGGAGCACCCCCTTTGACCGGAGGGATTTTATGACTCCATAAATGAAATCTACGACCAAGATTTCATAGGGAATGATACCTCACATGACACTATATGCGCATTTTAAAAATTCACCCTCCTGCCCTTCAAAATTGGCCGCCATCTTAGATTTGGGGCACCCCCTTTGACCGGGGGACTTTTTTGACCTCATATCTGAATTTTACGACCAAAATTACATAGGGATTGATACCTCACATGACGCTATATGCGCATTTTAAAAAACCGAAATCCCAGAGGCCTTATTATGGCCGCCATTTTGAAATTTAGGCATTTTGGGGGGTGTTCCGGGGTCGGACCGTGGTAAACTTTTGGTATGTTGTTCAGGAGGACCTACTGATGACGTTTACGTAGGAAAAGTTTGTTAAGCAATTTGTTCCGGGTCAAATCGTATTTCTCCCTGACTAGAGAGAGAGTGCGAGTGAGATGGAGCGAGCTCCGCGTCTCGCGCTGGAAGACAGCTGATAAATTTTACGAAAGATTTTTGCGAGTGCAGACTCTTGCATCCGTTGCAAGATCCATCCATATAGGTCAGTCATTCCCAAAACAGAAATGAGAATCTTCTGCACATGACGTTAGCATTACTGCCGCGAAAACCAGAAATGTCGGAAACAATGCTTTTCTTAAGGGAGAGAGCAAGTTTTTCTTAATGAATCATTTAAATTTCTTACTTTTAAATCCT